TGGCAGAGCACTATCCTGGCATGTGTGAGGCACTGGGTTCGATCCTTAGCACCACATAAAAATAAATAAAATAAAGGCATTCCCTCCATCTACAACAAAAAACAGATTTTAAAAAAAGTTAAGTAAGCCAGAAGACTTACTTTTAATTTCTGTTTATTGTAATTATTAATACATATTAACTGTATAAGTTAATGGCCTTCCTGTGGCATTTGTATACGTGCATATTTTTCTTACCCTCTCCTACCTTTCCCCTCTCTCTCCCTCACTTCTCCTTTTCCCTCCCAATTCATAATAGTCCCTCTTCCACTTCCAGATCATTTAATTGATTTTTTTTAGTTCCCACATGAGAGAAAACATGTGATACTTGTCTTTCTGTGTCTGGCTTATTATTTTGCTTAACATTATGTCTCCCATCCAATTCATTTTCATGCAAATGATAGGGTTTCATTTTTCTTTATGGCTAATAATAGTGTGTGTATACAAACACACACACACACACACACACACACACATATATATATGTGTATATATATATATGTGTATATATATATATATGTGTATATATATATACACATGCCTTATTTTCTTTATCCAATCGTCTGTTGATGAACACCTAGGCTGATTCCATATCTAGGCTAATGTGAATAGTGCCACAATAAACATGGATATGGAGTTTTCTTTCTTGCATACTGATTTTATTCCTTCTGTTATGTGCCCAGGAGTGGTGGTGGAGCACAGGTCAGTTCATTTTTAATTTATTGAGGATCCTCCATGCTGTTTTGCATAGTGGATGTACAAATTTGAATTCACATCAGTGGTGTGTAATAGTTCTTTTACCTCCATAACCTCTCCAGTATTTGTTATTATTATTATTTTGTATAATGGTCATTCTGACTGTGATGAGAATAAATGTGTAGAGTTTTGATTTGCATTTCCCTGATGGCTAGAGATCTTGAGTATTTCTGTATAGATTATGTACATTTAATCAGATTTGAACTCTGATTTCCCCATTGGTTCAATATTGCAAAATACATCCTGTAGGGTTTCAGGAGCCTGACCATCTTGATGGTGTGTATCATGCCATGTCCTGGGATAGTATTATTTGTTTTGGGATGAGAGATTCTTTTGACTTCTGGTACATGACTTGATTCAATTTAGATGAGAAATTAGAAAATTGTTTTTGTTTGCTTTACATTTCAAGAATTCTTTATATTAGGAGCTCTTTGAAATGGGTCTGTATTACATCTATCTTTAATAACAGCTGTGTTAAATCCTATCCCCTTCTAACCCCTATCCCTTATTATAATAAGAAAAATGTGGGTTCTTGAAAGGACTTTAAAAGCATGGGCTTTTAAACAGGATAATGCAAGTCATTTGAATTAGTTATGGTTACAATTTTCTCCATAAATTTCAAGGCAAAGAAAAACTCCTTGATCTACCAAATGTAAGAATAATGAAATTCGAATTTATCAATCTTATTGAGGATTCTAAGTTTTACACTTAATTAAAAGAATAACAGGAGAAGGTCACTTTTGGTATTTAGACCATTTCCTGATCTGTAATTAGTAGAACCTCTATTTATTAATCTAATCTCACAGACAAGATTATGTTTGTGCATCTTTAATTTTTATTATAAACACTTACGTGAATTTAAAAAATGGCAAAGGAAAAGAAAAAGAACTGTATCCATAATCTTACCATATGATGTAATTTCTATTAGCACATTGACACATACTTAGTTGATTTGTTATCCTATGCCTATGTGGCAGTAAGGTTTTTAAATACATAGTTGTAGCCATCCATCAATGCAAATATGTAATCATCATAATCATCACTTTTTGAATATTTTATATTATTGTGTATTCATTTATTTTTAAAATTTTAATTTGTTTTAATTAGTTATACATGACAGGAGATTTCACTTATGCACTTTGATCAATCATAATTCCTCATTTTTCTGAGTATACATGTTGTAAGATCACATTGGTCGGCAATCATATATATATATATATATATATATATATACATGAAGCAATAATGTCTGTTTCATTCTACTATCCTTACTATCCACATATTCCCCTCCCCTCCCCTCCCTTCACTTCCCTCTACCTAGTACAAAATATGCCTTGATATTGTACACCAGAATATCTACCACCTTTTTTTGTTTTTACCATAGTCATTGGTTTCTTATAAACTGTTGGTTATAGGTTTTTATAAGCTAGGGTCCTAGAGAGATCATTGTTCATTCTTTCTCTTCCTGTATATTACAACACTGATGCAAGAAAGATAACAACAGTGGTGTACTTGTCACTTTTCTCTTTCTCTCTGCTTCAAATTCTCTCCCACCCTTGCATATGAACTCTTTAAAGCTGAAGCACTTGACCTTACCAATTTTATAGCTGTAAAATTGATTGATTTTGATGTTTTCCCATATTTTCTATAGACATTGGCCACCTTTCCCACTTTCTTGAGTTGATTTTGATCATATCAATTTCTTGTTCATTTATTCAGTCCACCCAATACTCACTAATTCTTTGGCATCACTCTAGATGATCACTACCTGCACCTTTTTATCCTCTCATTATGATACCTAGGCATGTCTCCTATGATACCTACGAACTTCTCTGAAATCCAAATCCCTAAATTCTGCTCTCTGACCACAATCATCCATGATTTTTTTGTAATATGTTTGCTCTTTTTCTTCATTGATGATTTTATTCTATTACTGCATTTTGTTCTTGAAATTATCAGGCATCCTCTGCCATACCTCTTTACTTATCTCCTACAGGGACATGTTCTGTCCCTTCTTCACTCTCAAATTTACTGTCAAGTCATGGCTTTTGGTTCTTCCTTCACACGTGATCTATAAAACATCAACCCATATTGAATTTCATTAATATCCTTTTCTGTTTTAGCCACTAGGCCTACTAGTGCTATTCCAGATAGGTGCTTTCTATCCTTAGCTGAAGAAACATTTTTTTTTCTGACTCATTTAAATAAAGTCTTCCCAAAGAGCTTAATCAGCTCTCTTGGATTATCTCTCAGTGTCTATCTACACCTTTTGGTTCTTTTCCAGAAAATACTATGTGACTCCCATCCATCTTTGACTGATATGTCAGGTGTTTCCTCCTTTTTCACCTAGACCTGCAAGAACAGCAGGAAGTAAATTTTCTTAAGTTAAAACATATCTAATGAAAGTTCTACAGCAAGTATCATAATCAACTGTGAAACTGTAATCATTCTGATGAATGTCAGAAGGGAAAAATAAGATCAGTGCTCTCTATATATTTAAATATTATATTGGGAATCCTAGTCAATAAGAATAGAAATATGTGGAGAATATATGAATTGTAAATAAGTAGTAATACTATTTTTATGTGGGGTAAAATGATATTTTAAGATACATAAGAGCCCAGCAGCTCAGGAAACTGAGGCAGGAGGATGGCAAGTTTTAACCAGCCTCAACAACTTTGCAAGGAACTAAGAAAGTTAGCAAGACCCTGTCTCAAAATAAAAAATAAAAAGGGCTGGGGATGTGGCTCAGTGTTGAAGTGCCCCTGAGTTCAATCTCTGATATCAATAATAATAATACACAAGAGAAGAAATGTAAAACTTAAAACTTATTAAAGCACCTATATTTGATATGTACTGATCTGTGGGTCAAATGACATGATGAAAATACACACTGAGTTTTAAATATGAACATGTTGATAGGACAATTTTAATTGTGATGAAAAAGGTGGCAAAATATGTAGGAATCCTGCAGGAAATTTTGTACCAAACAGTAGTAAAAAGCATGCTAATTATAGTTATAATTTTTTTTGTATTTTGGAGGGACATTTAATCTCAAATTTTTATTTTTTTATTTTCAAACATCAAGAAAATGTAAATGTCCTTTTAGGAGAAGATAATGTTTTATCTTCCCTCTCTGATAAAGTGAACCAAAAGGACTAACATCTTGCTGAAATTTTTATTATAAGTAATACTTCATCATTATTCAACCAAGAGAATATATTTTTAAATAAGATAGTTTCAAAGGAAGTCTTTTAATTATTCAAATAGCAAAGCTATTTCTTATACATATTAAAATACAATTTCAAAATTTCATTAATATAAAATGTAAATGCCAGTTTAAGACTGACTTATATATAGTTTATTTTTTACATTTTTTTGAAATTAAAATCTTTATAAGAATTTAAAAATACTTAGCATAATCATTACTGTTTTGGTCAGGTTTAGCATGGCTGTGACCAATCTATTCAACAAGAACAACTTAGAGGAAGAGAAGGTTATTTTGGCTCACAGATCCAGAAATCTCAGTATCTCAGTCCATAGACTCCATTGCTCTGGGCCTAAGGTGAGGCAGCATATCATGGCAGAAGGGCCCAGTGGAGTAAAGCTGGTCATCTCATGATCGGGGAGTGGGGGCCAGAAAGCATAGAAAGAGAGAGAGGAAGAAGGATGGAGCCCATAAGATGCACTCTTCCTGGGAGAGACCCAGTGATCCTCCTCCTCCAGCCATACCCCACCTACCTACAGTTACCACCCAGTCATTCAAACTAGTACAGATTGATGAAGTTCTAGCTCTCATAATCCAATCACTTAATATTCCTGCATTAACCGACGTTTTCCCAGGATACCTCATAACCAAACCATAGCGATTACTTTTTATTTATATTTTCTATGTTGTTACTGTTCATTTATGTTACATAACAAGAAAAAGTAATATTTATAAGATACATTGTTACAGTATATATTTTGAGAATTGGGTAAAAGGTAAAATAATTCATTTAAAATATGAAACTGAAAGAATATTTAGGGTTTATTGATTGATCTACACATTTTTCCTTAAAATTATATTTATAAAGGTTTGATTTTATAATTTCACATTGATATATTTAAGTGGAAACAACTATCATTTTTATTCCCTCTACTAATACTTAGTATGAGCATTTTCAATGTAAATCAGACATATGATAATGAATGTTGATTTCTTTTAGGTATAGCTTACTTGAATGGAATGTGCAGTGAAAAGAGAAAGTGTATCATTGCTGAAGACAATGGCCTGAATCTTGCATTTACGATTGCTCATGAAATGGGTCACAAGTAAGTAAAAGTCATCCCTAAATTATATATTTTAGCATATATGATTATAATATCAGTTATTGAATTAGAGGCATATATTTTGATATTTACTTGGAATTCATATAATATTTTAAGACTTAGGGATATAAGGAAAGGTGAAGAAAAACTACATAAGTTCAAAGAAGATATATAGCTTTTGAAAGTTATAACCTTCTTGACACTTTGAACAAAATCTTATTACATTATTAAAATTCTCAAGAAAATCATTACACTGCATGATTGATTTCACTACACATTTCCAAATAATGTAAGTATTGCAATAATGATGAAACTGCAAAACTACATATTTTTGGCACAAGTGCAAGTATTCCTAGACTATAATAGTATCAGTGTTTATTACTATGAGGCACATACTAAAAGAATTAACTGGCAGGATTTAGGGATAATGGACTTAAAACGGAATTAAATTAGACACATGATCATATGTAATTAACATTAATTATTCTTAGGTAGAATTCTAAGCACTTTATATAGATTAGTTCATTTAGTACCAAAAACAAGTATTGCTGTCAGTTTTTATTTTACTAATAGTAATAATGAGTAAAAATAGCAACACTTAGGTAGTACTTCCACATTTCTGAGTTCTCAAAATAATCTTGCTATTTAGTGTCATTAATGTACCCACTTTAAAGGAAAGAAAACAGAAGTATAAAGAGGTTCATTTCCTTCCCCAGATTATAAAAACGTTAATTTGTTGGAGCAGGGATTTGTACTCAAGCACAACTCAGGTCACACTTTTCTGAATTTCCACTTGAAGTTACTGCTATCCTTGAGCCTTAGATGCATCATCAGTAAAATTAGGAACAATACCCTGGTTGTGGGCTTACTTTGGGATTAACATGGCCTAAAAATAATGTTAATATTTTCAAGAAATGTATTGTAGTAAAAATAACCTGCAATTGGAAATCAGACTTGATTTTGAATATAGGTTTTCCCAATTTCTAGTTTAATCAGTAATACAATAAAATTATTTTCACTGGACTCAGAAGTAGTGAGGCCCTATTCAGGAAGGTAATCTTTATGAAATCTTCTTTGATCAGAGACCAATTTAGTTTGTCCTTTAGTAATGAAAAATTGAACTAATTGTTAACATATAATATATATATATGTGTGTGTGTGTGTGTGTGTGTTCGTGTGTGTGTGTGTTTAATATTAAAATTTTGACTTATTTTCATTATATTCCTGGACTCTGTAGGCAACTGAGTAAGATTGAGTTGGCAACGGAATTTGATTGGTAGAAGAAAACTTCAAAGAAATAGTTCATGGAGTTAAGATGTAGTTTCAGTGATACAGAATTTGCCTTGCAAGTGTGAGGCTCTGGATTCAATCCCTAATCCCCAGTACTGTTTAAAAAAAATCAGGGAATGGGGGGTGGAGAAAAAAGAAAGAAAAAAACTCATATAGAACATGACTTATTCAAGTAAAAAGGAGTGATTAAATGATACTAAGTTCCATGAGCAACCAAAATTTGATTATTTCAATGTATCCATAACCCAGTCTAAGAAATAAGACATTATCCAAAATTCATTTTTTACATGTCTTAACTGACAAAAATTGTATATATTTGTTCAATACAGCATGTTATTTTGAAATATAAATTCATTGTGAAATCGGTAAATTGAGGTAGTTAACATATGTATTTCCTCACATACTTCTTGCTTATTTATGTTTTTGGTGAGGACACTTAAAATCTGTTCTTCTGGCAATTTTCAAGTGATTGGTTTTTTGTTTGTTTGTTTGATGTTTGTTTTGGGTGCTAGGGATTGAACTCAGGGGCACTTGAACACTGATTCACATCCTCGGCCCTATTTTGTCTATATTGTATTATTTAGAGACAGGATCTCACTGATCTGCTTAGTGCTTCACTTTTTTTCTGAGACTGGCTTTGAACTCGAGATCCTCCTGTCAGCTTCCCAAGCCACCGGGATTACAGATATGCACTACCATGCCTGGCTTTTTTTAAGTGTCAAATAACTTTACTTTTCTCCCATATATATTTTTAGTCTTTAGTTGACTAACCTGAATACAAGGAGTTGATTTACTTCAAAAAAAAAAAAAAAGATAAATAACCTAAAAATCATCATCCTTTAGGGAAAAATGCAATAACCTCACTTAATATTGCAACCCAGAAACCATAGGATCTACATTCTTAATACAGTATAATTCAAAGATATTTTCAGTATAGAAAAGTATTGGCATTATTTGGAGGAAAAATATTAAGAATAAAGTTTTGGAGCAAGAAAGAAAATAATAGTTTCATAAGCTGCAAATAAATTATAAATACAATTCTGAATAAATAAATGTGAATTTCTGGATAATAACTGTTTATACCATTTATGCACTAACAGTTTCATATACAAATGGTCTCTTAATAAGTTACTAAAACTTTTCTTTCACTAAGAAATAGTTGTCTTGAAAGTCGACTAGTGTTCTCTTGATGCTAGGCAATGAGAGATGAGAGGTATTGAGAATGATGTCATCTTTATAAAAATAAAAACAGGAGGAAATTTATCTGTATAAGTTGTGTTATTATCATTAGCATCATCCAGTGTAAAGTATAAGATATAATGTAAAAGAAATAAAGAAAAATGGAATTAAAAAATATTTATATATTCACAGCCCATCAAATGGAGAGTCTTCTCAGATATTAAATAATTATATCTACAGATCTGTCTCTCTCTTTCTGTCTCTCTCTCTCACACACACATACACACACACAAACACACATACAAGCAGAACACTTCTACTTAGAATTATAATTGATTAAGGATCATAGGTCTTATTTTGTCTTTTTTTTTGGATCACCTATTTATCGGTGTCAAATTATATAAGTGAAAATATTTTTCTAAAAACTAACAACAAATTCTTACATATACTTCCACGCACAATTTTAAAATAGTAGAATGGTTCTCTTTTAACTTTTTAATTCAAGAATATCTTCATAATCACAAACTATTTCTAAACTGATTTGAGTGTATATTTGTTGACTTGAACTGATTTCTAGAAATTCACATAAAAACTCAACATACAGCTGAAAAGTCAATGAATCACTAAGTAATAAAGGATGACTCTTGAGAGAGAGGATTTTAATAATCAAAGAATAAAAACTCCTTCTCTTACTATTGCAAAGGAACCTAGTACAATGTCAGTTTCCTTTTTAAGTTGCAAAACTATGAACTTAAAAATATCTTATGTGCAATTACAAACAAAAGAACAGGATGGAATCTGTAATTTAAAAAAAAGAAAGGAACAAAGTGCCTTAAACTAATGTTTCTTGATTCTTTTCCAAAATTATTTTCTTTTTATGCAATAATTTAGGGGTTATTAATTGTCTTATAACCAAGGTTTTAATCAAGGAAATGTTTTAATTGGCAGAAGTGAATTAATATCTATGCATCAAATACAAACAGCATCTTCATTACTTTATTATGACAAAGTATAAAAATTTATTTTATGAATAAAAATATGAGAAATTATTTCTAAATTTTATAGTTTATTGAACCTATTTTCACTATATGCTATTTATGAACAACAATTTGTTAAAATAAGACACTTTGCTTTCAGATCAGAATGCATTAATTGTGATTAATTTACTGTTCTGACGAGTATCCTCAAGATCACCCTTAGGCTAACAGGACTCACAAAACTCAAGAAAACTGTTTAACTCATGATTATAGTTTATTACCATGAAAGAATACAGATTAAAATCAGCAAGGATAAAACTCCCATAAAGGATCCAAGAGGCACCACGCCCAAACTCTCAGTCCTTCTCTCCCAGTGAAGCTGTGGGGACAGATGGTGCTTTATTCTCCCATGAGTGTGAAAACATGGCCAGAGTACTAGCAACCAAAAGAGGTTAACCTGAGCTTTGGTATCCAGTATTTTTCCTGAAGTTCGGTCCTGTGGGCATGGCAGACTGCCTAAAGGCAAAACTTCAGTTTCCAACCCCTCCAGAGGTCACACTGACTCTAGACCCCACCATAAATCACATTGTTAGCAGAAACTGTCATGGTCCAAGACCCCCAGCTAAACAAAGATATTCTTGTCAAAGATACCTTGGCAAGATATTCCAAGGGCTTAGAGGTTACCTCCCAGGAGCTAGGCAAGGACCAAACCTTTCTTTGGAATGTTCAGGTTGGGGACCACCCAACTTGCTGAGTTAACTCTTTACTACAAAATTACATAATATTTTTAAAGTTTGAAAGATCTTCTATTTTATATTGGTTTGCCAAAGCCTATCTATAAAAACTCAACATTGTCTGTGATTAATGGGCATTTTGCTAAACTGAACACATATATCTAACCGAATTGCCCAAAACTTTGAGCTAAGTGTTCTTTCTTATTGTCACTTTAGAGCTGAGTAAATTAATTCATATTTCAGAAGTTCTTTTTGTGTTAAGCTTATTCTCTTTTGATTAAAAATATTGGAAAGATATTCCTAGTTCTAATTAACTTAATCTTGATTTTTAATGTTTTGGCCTGCAAATATTTTTTGGTAGTTAAATTTCATACTTTCTTTTATTACTTCTGTAGGTTTTTACAATTATAATTATTTCCTCATTCTAATATTAGGAAAACACATTTTATATAATTTTTTAAATATTTTTCCTTTTTTCCCCTCTCTTTTTTCTTCCACCTCTCTTACACACGTCATTTGAGATGTTAAGGCACCTAAATTTTTTTTCTCTCTCTTATACACATGTCATTTGAGATGTTAAGGCATCTAAAATTTACTTTACTATATGTAGTAAAGTTCTTTGTATTAAATTTGTGGGGTTTTTTTTAACTACTCAATAAATGATCTTACTGCCCAAGTGTGGTCTGGGATGAGATAAGGAGCTATGATAGAATACTGCACTTAAATTCCTTCACTGAAAAAAAAACTTGAAATGGAAAAAAATAGCCTGCTAAACTAAACTATGTGTTCAGTGATGTAACTGATTAACATTCTATCACCAGCT